GCAACAGCTGGAAACTCCATAACAAGTTTTCAGCTTCAGTCCCTACATTGTGTGTGCTGATTTTCCATTACCAGAGACTGAGTATTACAAATCCATTCAGATTTTCTCTTTTCACCTCTTGACAATTTTTGCAGCAATCGCCTTCTTCACTAAGTCTTTGAGCTCAGCATGTATGATGGAGAGAATGAGTGCTAATTCAAAGTTATCCATATACTACTTGGCTTTTTCAGTTTAGCTGTTCTGTCTCTGTAGAAACATTGAGATACACTGCAACATTTATTTTCTGAAAGATGTTAGTGCTGCCATCAGATATTAAAGGCCCCATAATACAGTACTTGTTTTCTGAATCCTTGCATGCATTTCCCAGTAGAAATCACCATCTCCTGCTGATATCTGCCTGGGTAATTATTTGTTCTCCTGATTAGACTCTTTCTTATATTACTCCAACTTCTTTCACGTATAACACATCCTTTTTAGGCTTACTTCAATTGACAAATATCTGTAATGCTTACCAGAATCAAGAAAAACCGAAAGGATTGGAGGGCTGAGAAAATCACCCTATATAAAATAAAATTCTAAAGAGTTACTGCAAAGCTTCTGACAGTCAGTCTTCTAAGCTAAAATCACTAATAAAAAAATAACATCAGGAAGTGAAGGCAGGGGAAATATATTGTAATGGTTATCTACTACTTTGTTACTGAGGGAGTGCTGTTTTCCTGTGTCTTTTTCAAACTGTAAACCTTACAGGACAAATCTTATATCCTAATATTTCTTGTAGGTTGATACCATTTCAATAAATCAATAATAACCAGGAGACCAGTATTTACTGCTTGAATATAATCATTCGGCTTGTAAGAAATATATTCTTCCAAATTTTCTGTGGTGTTGCGATGACCACAGTTATAGCATAAGTAGCTATGTAAAATATTTGTCTTCTTGATAATTCATACAGCAATAAAATGTAAATTTGAAATTTTATAAATTTCTGTCACCTATAAAATTTTATTTTAAAGAACATAATTTTCTCAGTGTTGCTGACTGTGTTGGTAGATTCAAAGTAAAACTAAAAAATAAGTTGAACCTTTTTTTCTGAATGGTGCTAAGTCTGAATACTGGTTTCTAGCGTGAAATGTGTTTAAAACAATACAATGTATTGTAATTATATTGTCATTTACAGTAGAAAGTATTCTAAAACATTGGACTTGTGAATTAAATGCGTGAATGGTACTGAAAGTACAGCCCAAAAGTTTGGTCTTTACCACTATTAAGGTGGTTTTCTTAATCAAACCCCTTCATCCCAGCCCCTCCAAAGCCTTATGAATTCTTGGATAATAGGTGAGAAAGTGAGAAAAGTGAAATCTGAACTCTACTTCTCCCTCGTGGAAGATTTAATCCCTTTGGAAAAGTGAGCAGTAGGTTCAAATACTGCTGTTCACACTGAGGAAGACTAGAACTCTGTGTCCTTTAGGGCTGCAGGAGCTGTCACACTTTCTGATTTTCCAGTTTCAAGAATAACAGCCATAATCTCTTTCTCTATCCTACGGTCTATGTTCTTTTTCTTCCCAGCTTCTTCCTCTCTCTCTTTTGATCATAGTCAAGCAGGGAATTTATTCAGCATGTCTAACGCTTGGTAAGGGAACAAGAGGACTGACACCAAAAGGTACAAATGCATTCAAATACATCAGCATCTAGCAGAATAGCCCTCTGTTTCAACATTAGCGCATCAGCTTTAAAGCAATCCTGCTGACACATGCTTGTTTCTGTACCTTCTGCTTTTACCCTCTCAGTTGTACAGAACCAGTTGTTTGTGTGCCATGCTTTGTTGGAAAAGAAATCTCCAGCTTTAGGGTAGAAATGGGGAACTTTCTTACTTTTCAAAGGTCAATTACAGTTTTTATTTGCAAGACAATAACTAGCAAGCTAGCCATCAGGCAACAATGCAGGAGGAGATGGGCTACCACCCTGGTTGTCCATCTTCTTAAGAGGCCATGGAGCCCTGAGTTGCTGGCACAGCCTCTGCCCCTTTGGTAGCAGAGGAGGGATGAAGGCCTACCAGCAAGGAGCAGGGATTTGTGGGCAGTAGTACAGGAGGGGCTTGGAAATAAAGCTGCTGGTACAAGACTGTATTTTTATCTAAAGGCAATTATTTTGCTTGCTCTGTCATAGGCAACAGACTACTTGACTTGTTTTGAATGTCAGCCCTGTTCCAATGGAATTAGACCTCCTAAGGAAAATGTAATTCTGGAGGAAAAATAAATATATTGTATTAGGGATTAGAAGAAAAATCAGAGATACATATACAGCATAAATTTTTGGTCAAAATTTTCACATTCCTGAATGAATCCTGTAGAATTTTAGTTTTCTTCTGTTTTCCAGAATAAGCATCTGGTAGTTTGGTCAGTTCTGCCCAGCATTACTGACGACTGCATGAATGGCGTTATTAATTTTTAAGTGGAGTCAGATTCACTAAAGAGAACTTGGCTGGTGTGTCCCACACAAGCACAATTTCTTGACACTACAAAGGGAAAAGAAAAAGCTAAACATTTGTTTTCAGAAGCTGATTTCAAAAGTAATCTAAAATGCACTATGTGAAAGGTATCTCATTAGAACTATTTCCAGGTTTAAGATAAGGTGCTTTGTAAATATAACCTGTTGTGAACTGTAAAAACTGTTACTAAGAAAGTAAATTATTTTTACTAAATATGTCATGATTTATACGATTCATTGACTTCACCGTGCCCTCAATGTTACACAAGCCTTTTTTTTTTTTTGGCAATTAGATTTCTCTTGTACATTATAAAAGAAGGTAAACACACTGGAAACTGCTGCCACAGTAAACTGGTGTTAATATAGTAGTGACTAAATTCAAGTATTCAAGCAGTTCAGCAGTTCTCACAGAGAGACAAATTTTAGGATATTGATGTGAATAAATTGAAATAAAAAATACTGTCCTGGAAGTCTTGTTCAATCAGACTCTTTTAAGCTACTTTGAAGGTCCATATTCTATTTGGACCAAAAGTTTTCCAGATAGATGTACATATGGTATGTTTTCTTTCCTGATTTCTTTTCTGATGGGCTGTAAAAAAAAACCAAAACAAAACAGCCAGACTACTATAAATGTTTCACACAGGCTTCATCTACTGAATATAACATTTGGAAAGTTTTATTGCACCCAGATCTCTTCTCCCCAGCCTAGTTTTGGACCCAGAAACAAAGCAAAACTAAAACATAACCCTTAATAATAATGATCATGTATTTAATGTCTATAACACACCATTAAAATGCACTTGTTAGCTTCCAGTTTTTACATTTAGTACTAGACTATGACTACTAGTAAACCACTGAAAATATCTGAATGAGAGCGGAAGATATGCTACAGACTGGGGGCTGACCTGCTAGAAAGTAGCTCTGCAGACAAGCTCCTGGGATTCCTGATGGACAACAAGTTGTCCATGAGCCAGCAACAAGCACTTGTGGCTAAGAAGGCCAATGGTATCATGAGGATAATTAGGAAAAACATGACTGGTAGGTTGAGAGAGGTACCTCTATGCCCTGGTGAGGCCTCACCTGAAGTACTGTGTCCAGTTCTGGGCTCCCTGGTTCAAGAAAGATAAGGAACTTCTGGAGAGGGTCTAGTGGAGGGTTTCAAGATTATTAGGGGACAGGAGCACCTGTTTTATGATGGAAGGGTGGGAGAGCTGGGCCTGTTTAGCTTGGAGAAGAAATGTCTGAGATGGGATCTTATCCATGCATGCCAATATCTTAAGGATGGGTGTCAAGAGGATGGTGCCAGACTTTTCAGTGGTGCCCTGAACCATTAGGGTTGGAAGGGACCTCTGGAGATCATCTAGCCCAACCCATCTGCTAAGGCAAGTCCACCTAGAGCAGGTTGCACAGGAATTTGTGCAGGTGGGTTTTGAATGTCTACAGAGATGGAGACCCTACAACGCCCCTGGGCAGCCTGTTTCGGTGGTCTGCCACCCTCAATGTAAAGGAGTTCTTCCTCATGCTGGGGTAAAACTTCTTGTGTTTTAGTTTATGGCCATCGCTCCTCATCCGGTTGCTGGGTGCCACTGAAAAGACTCTGGCACCATCCTCCTGGCATTCACCTTTGAGGTATTTATATGCATCAATGAAACCCCTCTCAGTCTTCCCTTGTCTAGACTAAACATGCCCAGCACCCGCAATCTCTCCTCTTAAGGAGGATGCTCCAAACCCCTGGTCATCCTTGTGGACCTCTGCTGGACCATCTCCAGTAGCTCTAAGGGGCCCAGAACTGGACACAGTATTCCAGATGTGGCCTCACCAGGGTTGAGTAGAGGGGGAGGATCACCTCCCTCGACCTGCTGGCCACACTTCTCCCGGTGCATGCCAGCATACTATTGGCCCTCCTGGCTGCAAAGGCACAACAGCTGGCTCATAGTCAACATCATCAACCGATACTCCCAGGTCCTTTTCAGATGAACTACTCTTTAGTAGGTCAGCCTTCAGCCTGTACTGGTACTTCGGGTTCTTCCTCCCCATGTGCAAGACCCTACACTTGTCTTTGTTGAACCTCATTAAGTTTCTCTCCACCCAGTTCTCCAGCCTACCAAGGTCCCACTGAATGGCAGCGCAACTTTCAGGTGTATCAGCCACTACCCCCAGGGGCAATGGGCATAGACTGAAAAACAGGAAGCTCCATATGAGTATGAGGAAAAATTTCTTTGAGTGTGACAGAGTGCTAGGACAGGCTGCCCCTAGAGGCTGTGGAGTTTCTGTCTCTGGGGGTACTCAAAACCCCCCTGTACACAATCCTATGCAACCTGTTCTAGGTGAATCTGCTTTATCAGGAAGAGTTGGACTATATGATCTCCAGTGGTTACTTCCCACTGCAACCATTCTCTGATGCTGTGATTCTGTGTTTCTGTGATGTGACCAGGAGGGAAATCGTATAACATAATTTTTTACAATTGAAGAAAATGAACAGAAAGCTGTTTCAGTTTTTCTATAAACAAAGATTTCATATGCAAATAATATGTATTTGAATTGCTGCTGGTCAATCCATAAATATTGCGTTCTTACCTCCATATCACAAGAAGCAAGGAAGAAGACTGTAATTCCTGAATTTTCCTTTTGTGGTACAGCTTTATCTCTTCTGCACTTTCTGTCACTGACACCTAAAGGGAAGTTAGTTATTAGTTGTGAAAAAAAGCAGAGATATACAAATACCTTACAAAATTTAAGAAAAAATTTCAATTAAATAAATTATGAAAATATAAAATGAAACCAAGCAAACATTGCCTGCATTTAGAGCATTTTGTCACTCAGCCACGACTGACTGAAGTATAATGTAGAAATATCCGAGTTAACTATAAACAAGCTTATTAGATAATGTTAACAGCACAGAATTTAATGAAGAGCATCAAGGAGAATAAATTAAACTTCAAGATATCAGGTTAACTGCTACTGGTACTTAGGGTAGCTAGCATGAGAAAGCAGAATACCTCTACACTGTGCTAGTCTCCCATCTGTTAGATGATGTGAAAATACCAGAGAAAGACCACCAGTGCTATGCCATTTAATCTGCTATGTGTGAAGGTGGTCAGCATGAGAAGGACTAGGGACTCCAAAGAACAACAAATAGCAGCAATCCATAGTGACTTAAAAAGAAAAGAGAAGGAAAATGAGATGAGATACTCAGTTTTGATCCTGCTGATTTTAAACTTAAATCTGGTGTCAAAGAACACTGGTAAGGAATAAGCTCAGCTGAAGAAAATGTCACGTATAGAAGGTGCCTCTGTGCGACTGCTATGTAGAGGAGAAAACTGCAATTGTCATCTGCAGGTAGGCATAACCATAAGAAGAATGTAAGTGAGCTTGAGAGTCATCTAGAGCTCCCCCTAAAATTCAGATAGGAAATTAAGATCTTCCAGATGTGAAAATGTAAAGCTGGGGGAGAAAAAGAAAAAGGAAAAGGAGAAAAGGAGAAGTGAATGCTGAAGGAGGCAACATTCACAGGGGGAATTTCTTTTCTGGGTAATAAGAGAGAAAATAGTTTGGAGTACTGTTTGAGATAAAGTTGTTAGCCTTTAGTGTAGCAGCCCTTCGGTATAGAGCTGACAATGCAAATTAGTTACACTGTTGCAATGCACTGTCACCTAACCAGCGAGAGATTATGATTAGTTTATTGACTAAAAGCAGATGAAGAAAGCATATGTATACTCTTAGTACTCCTTAACTATCAATTTGAAGCAATTTTATCATGCTTATGGGCAGAAAATGTTTCTTAAGATAAAGTAGGATGAAAATTGATAGAGTGTAATAAAATAAAATATATTAAATTCATGTACAAGCTACTTTATTATAGTATGTGTTAAATCATTATTGAAGGGCTGCTCAAGAGAAGTGCATTAGAAACACCTCCACTGCACTTACTAAAACATACTTTTAACTGTAACTTACAAATTAGATGATATAACCAACTTGAGACTTTGTGGTTAGTTTAGTGGATTTTTAAGTCCTGCTGGAGCCTCCAAATTCTTTTTAATAGAAGTTTCTTTCTCTTTAATAAGTCAGTTGTTTTCACTAACCATTAATTATTTTTCATAGGCACAGGGGTATGCGTGTCAAAGTGTGTGACATTCTGTAGAGAAAATGTCTTGGTGGTAATTGAGAAATATTGTATTAGACAAGAGTCACGTAAGATCAATTAATATTGTTTGACAAATTGAAAGGAATCTATGTTGCAGTATCATCTTTACATCTCATTGCTATGAAAAGAAAAAGATTGTTTATAAATAAATTATGAAATATTTAATAATGTGTATGCTGATAAATTTATATGTTAGTTTAATTTGTCCATGCATGAAGCTTCTAATATAGTCACTGAGTTCAGAATGTCTCCACAAGTCAGCCTATAAAAAACCATTAAATTCTGGATACTGCTTATGAGCTTTGCTCATGCTACATTGACGGGTTTTTTTTGGGAATTGTATTGTCATAAGCATCAAGAAGCAGTTCTTTTGCAGAAATTTTATGTACCAGGAGACAGATTAGCTATTTTATTGTAGTGGTAGTACAATTTATGAGCGATGCAAACATTTGTTGAAATCCAAAAAAGTGTCTGTTCTAACTTATACTGCAAGAGAAAACTACTGTTACATTCAATTTCTGATTAAATATATCTCAACATGATATATAGTAGTCCATTAAATGTCACACAGAAAGGAATTTTATAGAAGTGGATAAACCTTAATAATTGCATGGGGCTTAATCAGATAGTCATCAGGGTCAGGTGGATAATTTCAAAGCACTGAATACAAAAGTTGTTGCGTTTCTGTCATATTCTGTCGTATTATTCTGTCATATTTGGTACTTTAAAAGTACCAAAGAGGAAAAGTCTCGATCTTTTTTCTTAGTACCTGCTTTCTCAAATAAACAACTTGAGCAATGTCCTAAGTTATACAGTCAGGTTTTCTTATGCTTTCTCGTACTGAAGAATACTATATTCCCATTCTCCCCTAAAGGTCTTGACGTCTTGGTACTCTACAGGCACACCTCTCATGCTAAAGGTCTCTGATTTGTGCATGCCTTTATTTCTGATTTTATGGGGAAAATGTGACTGAATTACCACAAGATAAGGTTTTCTCTAAATTTGTATTTTTGTTCTTGTTCTAAAAGGAATGTTTCTGAAACTTTAGGCTATATGTCAGAAAAGAAGATATTTGACTTGAACTGTCCTAGAGATAAGAGAGGTTGTTTACAGAGTAACTTGGATGTCAATCTGAGGAAGAACAGAAAAATGTAGAGAGACCTTTGATACTTCATGGTTAATATTTAAGTGGTAAAATGCTGGAGGTCAAACTGTGCACACCATACCAACTGTCTCCTATACATGTGCATTGTAGCACAGTCTCCAGCCATATAGCAATTGAACTTCATATCATTCTTATTCTGTTATTTGCTTAATTTCTTCCTTCTGCTATTTTAACTAACTTTTAAGTATGGCTAAATTGCCTCACTGCAAACCACTCCTTTAACTGGACACACTGTAGTACATATGTGCTTGATAGTACACTTAGGACCTTATTGCTTAAATTCTGGAAAGTCGCTATCATGTCTATGGGCTACTTCTGCTTAACACTGAGCATTTTCATTTAAAAAATATTGATCAAGAATTTTATTTGCTTCTACCTTTAAGCAAAACTAGCCTCAATCAAATTCCAACATATTTTCCCTATCATTAAAATCTGACCCTTTCACAAATCTGCTTGTGCTTCTCTTATAATTCTATCAGCAATATTCTCCTGTCTTTGTATCCTGAGATCTCACCTAGCTGTCTATGTTTCCCGGATATATTCAGAGATAGTTAAGGCTTCAAAATGGCATTTTAGAAAATATGATCCTGAATCTGTAGATTTTGCACAGGCTAATTCATCCTGAAAAGCTGTATTTTAACAGTATAATTATTTTATACAGAAAGTATATGAAATTTCAGCATTGTGGCATCAATCCATCAAAAAAGCCAGCTAATGCTTATTCAGATTCATATTCATTTTGATAGAAGTATCTTACATATTTACCCTTTATTATGTTCAGCTGCAGACTGACATTTCTTGGACTTCAGTTTTGCTAACTTCCTCTTTTTTTTCCCTAGACATATTTTCATTCCTACAGCCATCTGGCAAAACTTCCCTTTTTTTGTAAGTGTACATAACCTTCATGAAGAAATTGGTATTAACAAAGGACCTTGTATGTACTGTTAAAATAAATGCCTGCTTTACTCAAGAAGTCCAAAATAGCAACAAGTGACTCTGGTAGGGAAAAAAAAAAACACCAAACAACCAAACCAACAGTTTATGTAAAAGGTTAGAAAATTAATACAATCACTGGAAATAAGTAGCAGATTTTATGCTGTGCCCCTTCTAGAGTGGAAAACACATGCAGAGCATGAGCTGTGATGTATGGAACTAGATAAATTCTTGATCAGGTAAATTGAAACAAGAGATTAAAGTAGGATACATCCAGAGGAGTTTAAATTAGGACATATAATATTAAAGCCAGTTATGTGATATTATGCGCGAATGATTAATCGTAAATACATTTTTTTTTTAACATTGGATATGTTCCTTTAAGTTATAGCAAGACCAGATGACAGTGCATCATTAAAATATTTGGAGAAAAATTGTTAAACAATAATTAACAGGAAAGTAAGAAAAGGAAGAACTGATATTGATTCAGGTAGCCACCATAGAAGTTTAAGATATTCTGTCAAAAAAAAAAAAAGTTTAGATATTTAATTTTTGTAGGGTTTTTTTCACTTAATACTTCATTATTAAAACATTCTATGTTTGACCCATCCTAAAAAAAAATAAAAACGATTTGCCAAATCTTAGAAAGCCTCAGTATATGTTCAAATACACCAGACTTGGTGAATGCCAATTTTAGAACTCCTTTTTAGAACTCAGCAGATGAGGCACTGTTTCCCTTTGAATCTCTGTGAAACTATCGTGGTTAGAGTTGGCAAGTGCATTGCTTGTTGTATTTACATCCTTACCAGGAAGGAAAACACACAACTGAGTGCTGCTTGAAACAGTAAATGCCAGATTAGTGATAAATTCAGTAACACTTAAAATTTATCTCTGAATTGTTATTAATCATTATTAACATAACAAAAATAAAAACAGTAACAAATTTTCTCTTTCTCTGTAGAACCAGACCTCAAATACTCTCCAGCCAAGCCAGCTGAATTTTGCCACATTGTCTCACTAAGATCATATGGAACTTTTCTTAGGCATATAATTACTCTATGTGCCTACATCTACCAGAATCAAACCCACATGACTTGTCTTTAAAAAACCCAGAAGATAACCTCTGAACTATATGTAAAAACTTGTTTGTCTCACCCTCCTCTAAAACTTTGTAGCAGTTCATCACTTTTCTGGTGATCTTTATTCATTAGTTAAAGAAATTGACGGTTCTGTTAGCTGACATCACACTATGAGTTCAATAACTGCAAGAGAAAATATTTGCTCTGCAAGTAAAACATTGGGAAGGACTCACTAAATTCGATATTATTAACATGAAAGACAAGACACTTAAAGGTTACTTTTCTTTCTTATTTCAGCTACCCGATGCTTGGCCTTCCCTCTGATGTACTCTGCACAGTGTTTTAACAGCTAATTTCTAAGCTGTATGGAGTTTATTGGACAAAGGTGATTTTCACTCTTTCAGTTCTCATCATACAGTGTGAATAAGGAGAAATAATCTGGATTTCATCATGTTAACAGTGCAGCCTTCGCTATAGCCTACATTATAGCTGAGTTGCATCTTAAACTGCATCCTTAATGTCTAAACCTTTCCAAATGCAATGAAAACATGTTCAGTCTCAGATTATTTTAATAGGCTTGATTTTTTTGGTTGTTTGGGTTTTTTCTTTTCTTTTCTTTTTTAATGTGAGAAATGATTTCAAGTGTCTGTTGTGAGATCCTTAATCTGAGACACTGAGACTGATTTGTTGATAGGCCTTAGTCCATAATCCGAGCTGGTTAGTTAGAAATGAAGGTTCTTAGTTTCAACATATATTTGAAATAATCTTAGGTACTGCAATCATCAAAAAGTCATTAAAAAAAATTTTACTCCTTTTTTCCAATTCAAACTTTTGGTGCTTTTTACCAACAATAGCAGCATTATTGTCTTCTTCCTGGAGATGGTTGTTATTCTGTACGTCCATGTATAGTTGTGGCAGAGATTTTCTTTCCTTATTCCAAAACACATAGAGATTAGAAAGCATTTTTAATTAAAATGATTACTGTTGCGGTTATGTTATTGAGCAATATTTTGGGATAAATATGTTCCCTGTTAGAAGTGTAATTCTACTTTTCATCTTCATGCTAAGTAATATTTACGTAGTTCATCCTTAAATTGTGTAAAATTGGATTTGATCCCAACAGCTAGAAGGTGTTGTTTTTAAAACAAGGCTAAGCAAGCACAAAAGTTTATATGAAGATACAGATTTGATTAGCATTCAGACAAAACAAGTTCAGCCAGGTTGGCTTGTGCAGTTACTGCAGTCTGGCTCCAGTGACTTTCCACTGCATTGATCTTTTAAAGAGGGACTGTATTTTGTTACAACCTATAGTGCTTTTGAAAGGAATAAATAGGGTGATATGATACAGCACAGGTCATAATGTTTGGTAACATGCATTCATCAATCTCTTACAGACATTTGTATTAGAGTCAATACATTAAGCATCACAACAGAGTTTACAGAGGTAAGAAAAGTGTTAACACCCCCCTCCATGAGATTATGTCTTCTGCAACAGCAGTCCCTATCCCTAGAAATATTCAGAGTCCTCAATATAGTAACTCCCTTTATGAAAGACAGAATGTGAAACAGTGATATAGGAATTCATATGTAAATCTCCACTGATTAATGATAATGCAGTGAGTCTTAGTTATAGTATTACTCTGTCATTTTCATAATATTCTGAAATCTTTTTTTCAACTATGAGAAAATAAGCTTCATGCAGAATACGACAGATTTTACTATTAATATGTCAACATATAGAAAAATTATGCAAACACAGGCAACTGAGTAAACAAAACACAGGTAACTCAGTGGGTACTGAAAAAATTCAACAATGTGCTGTTCAAAAATAATGAAGACATTCCTAATATTTGCCATTTGAAAAAATAAAAGCAAAAGCAATTCAAACCCAAGAGCCTTAAGTTGCCTGGCAATGGTAGAGAAAGCCACCTGTACCAGCTACCTATGTCAGAGCCTAATCTTACCAATTACTGCAATGGGGCGTCAGACCAGACATACTACCTCAGACACACTATCTCAGTTGTTCAAAAGGGCTTCTGTGCCAGTAAAGAGCCAATCTGATGCAATACTGACTGCTGTTCTTCTCAGAGCTCAAATGAAAACTAGAGTATTATGTCATTGTACTCCTTGATAAATTCAACCCAGCAGAATAAAAGACAAATTTCAATAACGATTACTGCAAGGGGCTCGCAGAGGTACAAAGAAATAAAAAACACAAATGCATGGGTTTGTTTTTTTTTTTTTCCATGCCACAAATACTGACTTTTCCTCCCTTCCAGCCTTTCAAAAGTCCATGGCTAACAAAGATTTCCTAGCTCATCTCTTTGACCTTACCATTTATTCTGTTTGCTTGTTGAATTCTGTTCATTTAGATGTATTGAAGGAGAAGCTTTAAGAAAACATCAGAACTGTTCTGTTCGAGCTTAAAAAATAACACAAATTAGGGACGAGTGGATTTTACTTTTCTAATTTAGGCATTTAAGGTTTAAATGTGTTACGTCTGACTTGGTCACATGTCACTTGTTATCAACTATGCTGAGACATGATTCTCACTGTACATCTAACCTACTTTAGATGTTGCTTTAGAAAATATTTTTTTTTTTGCCTGAATTTGCTTATTTCTCACCATTGACTGCAAACCAGAGTATACTGTATGTGTTTATTCTTAGTTCCCCTTGTCTCAAAGACTTCATAACACATCCCCCCACACCAGAAAAACAGATGGGATATTACAAAGGGAAAAAAATGAAGCTATGTAAAGCAACATTCTAGCCTGAAAATGTTCTGTTGCATGTTGCCCACTTGTGAAACCTTGTAATTTTTTTCCTGCTAGTAGTATTTCCTCCAGAGGTGGTAGCTTGTTCAGGAAGTTATGTAATAACATTTCTTTCCAATGACTATGTAGGCAGGTGGGGTGATGGTTTTATAGGTTCATTTTCCTGGAATTTGGGATCATAACAGATTACTGTCCATATGTCTTTGTGAATAGTTGTTATTGCATAATTTACTAAATAAGTGTACGGTAGATAATATCTACCCATTTGTGCTAGTTGTTTCTGATTCTACAGGCTTGTGACTTTCACAGATTTCTGAGTGTTATTCCACCTTTTTTCCTAAGAAAAGCCTATTCCCATCTTGCTTACTAGTATTTTGTTACTTAACATTCGGCATTTAGAGCACATTGTTTCCATCACTGGCTTACAACTGCCTTAGCCTCCGATCAAGAGGGATCATTTCTGGTCTCAGTCATGCCATTTTTAGTAGAATGTATAGCTTTTTAGTACTTGCTTTTTTTTTCCCCTGCAAGTTGATTTTTAATGTGCTTAACTCTAACAATATCCTCAGTTTCTTTCCTTTTGCTAGATTCTTATCTCCTGATGCTTGCCTTTTCATAACCCTTTGCTTCTATTCCTGCATTATGTCTGTTTTGTTTTGCTGCTTGTTAGAAAATCCTCTTGTATTTCTCTGTCAGCTACCTTCAGCTTTGTGTAAATTTCTTCTAAATCTTTCATTATTAAGAGTTTCAACTTCCTGCTCTAGAGTTGGTTTGAAAGTTTGTTCATGCAGACTGTATGATCCATTAGATTGTATGAACTAGGCTTTCTGGCTTTAAGTTACCTTTTCAAAACATTTTGTTTGTTTTTTCTTTATGTTTGTCATGACTTGACTACGTTGTTTCCTGTTCCATTTTCTGAAAAAAACCTTGAAAAAACAGCAATAAAAAAACACCAGACAAAAATCCAGATCTCAGTAGGTCAGATGGGATCTGATGATTTGTTCTGGATGTTTGTGACACTTCTTATGTGTATGAGCCTTGACTTGCACATTTACAGTCTTGCATTGTATTACATCACATCAACTTTGGTTCCTCCTGGTTGAAGTTGGTACACATAGACTCCATCACCTCTGACTGCTGTGAATTGCTGTGGGTGCACAGATCTTTGCTTATCTAGAAGCAAAAACAACTAAAATTTGTCAGTTTCCTGTCTTCTTCTGAGTGTTTTAGAAGATACTATCTCCCCATGAAATCAAAAGGAAACTCTGAATAGTTCTTTGAGAGCAAATCGTGAATATCCATAAAAAAAAAAAAATCCATGGCAATTTCTAGACCATTTGTTCTATGGCTCAGCAACAAAAAGTCTTTTTTGCCCAGAAGAGTACAGCACAAGACAGCAGTAGTAGCAAGACAGCAGTAGTAGCAGCAAAGAGACAAATGTCTCTTTGACTTCATACTGGCAAGAAACAAATTTGGATCAATACCTCAATTTGGTATCAATATCCCAATTTCTGTCAAGACATCAGCAGTAAGAATATTACTGCTTGGAGCACTGAAAATATGCTCTTCAAATGCACTATTGACGAAAGAGTGGGACATAATAAGAAATTAAATGAAGCTGAATAAATACTTGCATTGAATGTTAGATAGAAGAATTCATTAGTTGAAAACAGTAAGCAAAAGAAACATAAATATATTTCAGCAACCACCTCAGCGTACTTTAGAGTTGCATTGTTCATCTGTGTGCCTTGTGTGCTACAATGCAAAACATGGAGAAAGCCACTGGTCCTCATAACTGTGGAAACAAAAGGAGAATTGGTAGCCAGCTTCCATCATCATTAGATTGGCTAACTTTGCAAGGCTATTTTGTCTGTTTAGTGGGACAGCAAACGTGACACACCCATTATTTTCCAGATTCTTTATATTTCAGTCCTAGATGTTTTTAAAAAGAAATTATTACAGATTCTGAAGAGAAAAAGAAAAGGTTTAGGACTTTTGGGTACCCAGAGAAAGAGATTAGATGAGCTAAGAACAGAGTAACATCAGAGAATTAATATTCTTCCTAGAAGAATATGTGAACTTCAGCTGCTGTTTCATTTTCATACTTATCAATAGCATATGCTGAGGATGTGGATTATTTTGAGTATACAGATGAACTGGACTTTTAAATACCTTACCAAGGTAAATATGCTGAGATAAATACCTTTTGTTACTGTAGAAATGCAAATTAAAATGAAGAAATAAAATTCTATAAAGGCTCGAGTAATTGCAAGTTCCAGTCATTAATTGAACTCCTTTCCTTTGTGCTTCCTTGTTCTAAGCATTCTTATGATCATCATTATTTAAATTTCATGTTGTGTAGTGCTAAAGGGCATCACTTTGCCACACTTGTAACTGTAAATATCAGCTGTTGTATGTTGCAAGATATCTTTGAACCTGAAAGTTTTCCCACATCATAGTGAAAAGCCACAGGCGTGTGAAGATGTTATAAGAATGGGAAAAAAACCCACCCCAGAGTTGTAGCAGGGTTGGGTGTATTACTATATCACTGTTCTGAGGTTATCATATATTCGTTTTAATGTTCACTTCTAATGTTGGGGTTTCTTTACCTTGATTTCTTTTATATGGGAGTGTTCTTTGTTTAAGAACTAAAGGAGAGATGTCAACAGTGTACCGTCAGATGGTGAAGAGCTGAAGCCTGCATATTATAGGCTTGATTCATTTGTGCTGTTCCAACCCATGCTCCAGGGTCCCAACAACAGAAGTAACCACAATTGACCTTGTGAGAGTAAAAGCATTTAAATTGCAATCCTTTGGAGGGCAGGTGTGCATCTATGGGGTAGCTGTACAAACAATGACTCAAATTTCCCAGTTTGGTGGTTGTATTAGGATCACTTTGTAAGATTGCTTCAGCTCCTGGTGTCTCTTTTTAGGCTTGGATCTTTTGGGCAAAAGCATATATATATATATTTTTTTTTTCATGACAGTGTCTCTGCATTCATGTGTTACATTAGCCTGTCCATGCTATAGATACACACCCCAGTTCCCTAATAATTTTCTCTGTCACTCATAAAAATGAAGTGCAGTGACTGACAGAGCACATTCTGTAACCTGTGGCTGTGTGACCTAGGCCTGAATAGTAGGTTTGGAAACACTTATTTAAAATGTAAGGTTTGTAGAACAATGCCTTTAAGTAGGTGGTGTAAGACACTGGGGGCCAGAACAGTATGAACTGCTAAACAAAATAAAGCTGGGTTTAAAGAATAAGAATCAACAGCTTGTTGCAAGAACAGTCCCCAAGCCAGCAATTCTATGCTTTTCTGCATCTCTTATTCCTCACCTGTTGCTTCTATTTAATTTTTAACTTTCTTACTATGTAAATCTATTTTAAAATATATTTTTAATTCTCAATGTTTACTTTATATTCATTAAGGTGCATACTCCTTATATTATGATGATTTACACCGATAATGGGATTGATCTAATCCAATTTAGGAATTTACAGGTTAATTGCTTAAGTCTAAGCTGACCAGAATATATTCCATTGAGGGTAACAGAAGCCAGAATTTATAACTTAGACCAATGCTATACATATTCCTAACATCTGTGTCTGCTCTTGAGTACTGTTAGCCAAGTGGTATAAGTGGTTCATCTTCGTGAGATTCACTCTCACACTCATCATGGGTAGACTCATTTGATATGGTTTGTTTCCATCTACAAAACACTTGGTAACAGGTGATCCTATTCCTCCCTGACTGTTACCCCTGCAAACCAAAAACATTATTGTTAATTTTTTGTTTCATCTATTTCAAAGAGTTTGAAATTATGTGAAACCTGTGTTTCTGGTTATCATGGTAGTGTGTTTATAACACGAAACTGAGGGTACATTTCATACCCTGAGGCCTGACTCGAGGCTGTAAACCAGTGTTTGAGGAAGAATTTTGGAACTGTGTATGGCAGAGAAAGTTGAGGCTGGCTCAGTTTTGCTTAGTCTATCTTTCAAGAATAACTACTGACACAAAGTATCACCAAAACCTAGCCTGTTTTGTTTTGAAGGGAAATAAATAGTCAACAAAACCCCCAGTTTTAGGAGTGAAGTAGTGTGATAAATTAAGGAACTGAGACCCAGGAACGAAGTGAGAAGCTAAGTTATGTACATGCACCTTGAGAAAATAGGTTTTAAATGTCTAAGGTAGAGTGAGATGAATCTCATTCTGGATTTCACAGGATGAACAGACACGAACTTCCTTTTGTGTAGAATAGCCTTTAACTGTAGGAGCACCTACAAAGGGGTTTCAACATTGTAGTTTTATGGTGTTAATGTTGGGAGTTGATTTCACCTTTAACACTGTGATGCATGTTTCTTCATTGTGATAAAACATGAACAAATATTCCCATGTGAAAAAGCTTCTGGAAAATTTAAGAAAAATAAGTTGAGGTAGAATTTCAGGGGTTGTGAGGACCAAACTGGTCATCTATGTCAAAGATATTTATTGTCTTCAATTATTTTTTATTTTTCATGCCATTCTCTCTCCTGCAAGCCCAAAAGAAATATATAGTGGTAAGTCATAGAATTTGAACTACTTAGCACCTTGAAAATGATATTGTTCTGAAGTTGTCTGTATGTTTTTAATTTTTTTCCTTGATCTTTGACTGAGAGATTATATAGACCCTCACTAAACATTAAGAAACTGTAAGATCTGTTTTTCTAAAATCCACATGAATACAGGTTTTGTTTTGTTTTTGTTTTCTTTTGCATTCAGTCTTTCCTGTATCTTGTAGAGGCATATAGAAAGATATATCCCCTCTATACAAAGTAAAAATTTAATATATATCCCCTCTATATAAAGGAAATATTCAGACTGTATCTTAGCGTTGTGAGCTATTACACTGTTTCACTGTCATTTATTTTCTGGTGCCCTACTTCTGACAAATTTCAGCTTGATGAGAGCCTCTGGGGTATAGATTTATAGTTTTCACTCAATGAAAATAATTTTCTTTTACTGAATGAGCTTGTGATTCCTTTATTTTTCTAAATATTTCCTCTCAAAAGAGATATCTCGCATGCCTTGGCACATAAATATGCCATATATTTATTGGTATTTCTATATACTTATTTTTCTTAGGTTGCAGGCTCCTTGAGATGAGATTCTGTGATATTATTCAGAAGTTAGCAGTTAGAATGATCCCAGTTAGCTCTCTTAGCCACAACTCTAACATAAGTATATTGTAATAATAATAATAGTAGCTGCTGACAAAATAGATGGTGTAGCCAGTGTTTTGAAGCAAAACAAACTGGATAAAGTCCTGAGTTTGACCTGGTTTGACCTCATCATAGCTGACCCTATTTTGAACAGAAGATTGGACTAAATGACCTCCTGAGTTTTCCTGCAACATGAATTATGCTATGATCTTATGAATCTCAACTGCTAGCTTTCACTGTTGCTTTTTTTCTTTTAGAAACGAATTATCAGAAAAATATAATTTCTGCTTTAAATTTTTTCTATACTTAGATGTGTATAAAAGATATGTATATTTACAAAAAAAAAAGGTAGTGACCCCTTTCTAATTTTTTAAAGTTTTGTAAAATTTAATGTTACCTTTTTCAGCTTTACTCCATATTTCTAATCTTATGGAAATACATTTACTATGTTTTAGTACGGGAAACCTAGAGGAAACTCACTGAAAACGTTATTTTAAGAAGCCAGCTAGTGCATTCACCAGAAACTATTACATACCCCTCACCAGATTATTCTTAACCTATGATTGGTTTTGATGCTTTTTAGAGAGGTTTAGTTCTTCTAAGTCATATGCATTTCAGTGGTAACACAGGGTGCAAGTTGTACTTTCAGTTTAGAGTCATATTCTTACTATGGCATCAGTGAAAACACCAAACTCCCATTTTTGTATTTCCATTCCTTTCATTCCTGTGTCAAAACTAGATCATATTTTGTGTACATTTTCTGGTAGGATTGAAGAGAACAATTTTATGTTTGAAATATAAAATCAATCTTAATGTTAAAATTGAGCTATATGGGCTTTTTTAATATTTGAGAGCAATCACACTCTGAGGAATCTGTGTACAAACTGAGATCTGAAAGAAAATGGTGGTGTTTTTACAGTATGTGAACACAACCATCTGATTTATAGTTCAATCTGTTAATGCACTCTGTTATTAGGCCACCTGGCAGTTTTATGCATTGTGAATTTAAAGAGGAGCTCAATGTAACATAAGCTTTACAAGCTGGGGAAATATTATTGAAATGAAACATGAATGAGAACCATTTAAACAATAAAATAATGTGTGTAGACTATATATTTTTTCATTTTAGTAAATGCACAGCCTAGGTTTTATTTCCTGAAGTTAGATGAGGTTCTGAGAGACTCCAACAATGAAATCTTAAACTAGCTTCTTTTTATAATACTGGGAGTCCTATAGATTTTGGTGTCCACATCAGTAAAGGCAAAAACATGTATCTGTAACACATTAGGAAACTGCAATTTGGAGAAAGATTTTCATGGCTTTATTAAGGTAATATTTAATTTTTGCATGGGTTGAAGTTCATTCATCAACAAGCTATATATACATATATAAGTCTGTACCAAAACCTGATTGCTACAGGTTTACCAGGGCACATTGGTAATAAGCTATGGCCTTAAAGAAAACAGTCTTAATAACAGGAGTAAGTTATAAGTATGTGTATATATATTTTTTATGTGTATATGTATTTTTTTGTTTGGTTTTAGATCTTAAAATTTCTTGTTTCAAGTTTTCTATTCAACTATGATGCTAGAAACTTCCTTTTTCTATTGAAAATGAAATCTGAGCAGATCCACATGACCTCAGGGCTGGGGTTTTATGTACAAGAAGAGTTGGCAGAGCTGCACATATAAAATAAGCATTCTATTATTCTATATAATAATAGGATAACCCCTCCTTACTTGGCACAGAACCTTGGAGGCACCTGAATTTTCCTAGGTGCTTATGGGCACGTCTGCATTCTGAGCTGTCTTTCAATTAAATGTTTGCTAATTTGTCGAATACCCATAGGAGACTGTTTTCATTGGATTTAAGAATTAAAATGAACCCTTATCTGTAATTTGTTGCTTTTTTAACAGTGCTAAAATTAAAGAGAGATTTTCTATGCAGTGGAAACACACAGTGAATAAAATGGGCAGACTGCCTTTTTATCTTGGCTGGGTAGTTAGTTAAGGCTCTTCAGAACTCCTGCTTTTCCTTTGCCGGCTACCAGGATCAGGTCAGAATGAATTGGGAAAGAGTGGAGAAGCTGCTATGTCTTCTCAGGGGTTTACTGGTCTTGTGCTGGGAAGGCTGGTTTGACTGTAAAAAAGGATAACAAAAGAGAGATTCAAGGGAATGACTGCAAACTTCTGAGTCATAGTTCTTTCCCCATGGCAGTGCAGATAAACACCTACCTTTATGTAAAGCAAGAGCTGAGTTTAAGCACTTTAAACAGGAAATCTTGCAAGTGTTAATTATTAATGTTTATTAATATAAGTTTTTTAGCACTTACAAGCATGCTCCAAAAGGCAGAGTAAAGAGTGATTCAACAGGGAACTAGTGCATTGTTGAAAGACCTTCAGGTATTCATATACGTTGATAAAATCCCCCGAGCCTTCTCCAGGCTAAACAGTCCCACCTCTCAGCCTTTCCTCCTGGATGAGATGCTCCATCCTAGTGGACCTTTTATAGACTCTCTTCAGTGTGTCCATGTATTTATTGTACTGAGAAGACCAGAACCGCACGCAGCACTCCAGGTGTGGCCTCTCCAGTACTGAGTAGACAGGAAGGTTCACCTCCCTTAACCTGCTGGCAATAATTTACCTAATGTAGCCCAGGATGCTATTCACCTTCTTTGCCTCAAGGGCACATTGCGGGCTCACATTCAACTTGATGTCCACTAGGACCCTCAGATCCTTTTCCACCAAGCTGCTTTTTAGCTGGGTGCCCCCCCCACCATAGAATGATGCATAGGTTTTTCCCCATGTACAGGACTTCGCATTCTTCTTGTGGAATTTCATAAGGTTCCCATCAGGCCATTTCACCACCCTGTCCAGGTGCCTCTGGATGGCAGTATAACTTTCCTGTGTAAGAGCCACACGTCCCAGTTTGGTGTTGTCAGCTCAGGGTGTGTTCTGCCCCATAATCCAGATCACTAACGATGACATTGAACAAGAATGGACTCAGTTTTGGCCAGTGGCATACACTGCTGATTACTGGCCTCCAGCTAGACTGATCACCACCCTCTGGGCTTAGTTGTTCAGGCAGTTTTCAACACACCTCACTGCTCATCCAGCCTGTACATCGACAGCTTGTCTATGGGGACTTTATGGGAGACAATGTAAAAGGCCTTACTGATGTCCAGGTATCATGGACCCATAGGGTATTAGGCAAAGATACTACTACTGCTAATCCTCTAAATGTTTTCATAGGACGAGGAGAAGCAGGTACAGAGACAGGAATTCAACCCTTCTGCAAAAAGAAAAGTTTTGGCAGTACCTACAGCACCTCCACCCACTACAGATGGAGTATGGAATTACTCAATGGGATACGGAAAGTAAACAAAGGGTAAAAGTTATACTTTTGTGAGTTCTCAGGTGATCTGGAATTCTTATTTTATGCCATGGTAAGGGAACTAAGTTGAGAGACTGTTTCACTCCTCTTATGTTTCATTTTATCTACTGCCAGGAATCGTATTTGCTAACTGGTCTCAGACATGGTTCTAAACTCCTTGTAGACCATCCAGTATATGAGAATTTGACATTTCAACTTTAGACACCCAACATTAGCTTCAGGTGGTGGACATATGACTTTATCTGGCTAAATGTAGGTGTCATTATTGGAGGAATTTGTCTGAATTTATGTTCTAGGCAATGGAAAGCTACTCAAAAAGACCTAGCGCTCTCCCCAAAGCAGTGCAATTCTGTTACCAAAACAGAAATAATAGTACCATTTGAAATGGCTTAACTTCTCCATCCAGTGTCTCTCTGACACTCCAGGAGGATGTATGTTTCCCATAGGTTCTGTGCCTTATATAAGACCACATGTGACTGTCTCAGATACTGTGAGGCATCTTAAATGGTATTAGAAACATGTTTTGCCAATTATTGCCTTAAGCCACCTTTTAGATTCCATCAATTGCTTTAGCAGACACTTAGCTTACACATAACCATATGTTTGTAAAACATGTACTTTGAGAAGAAATACAGAGTTCATCACCACTGCTCACAAGTTGTCCAATGCTCTATGAAGGGTAAAATTCCAGAGGAGGGCCATGAATGTGATCAGAGGGCTGGAGCACCTCTCCTATGGAAACAGACTGAGACAGCTGGGCTTGCTCAGCCTGAAG